CAAAATTTGACCTGGCAAGACCCTTTATTCCTGCCTTACCTGACAAGAGACAGTAGGTCTGGCCAGACAGCTAAACCATATTTACACATTGTAAAACCGCAACATAAAAGGCAAGTGCCAACAGCAACTACTATATACAAAGACACAGCTATTTTGAGAATTACACTGTGCATACACAGATACCTAACTGACCTTCTGAGATGAAAATAGTGGACAATCTCAATATCTATCTGCAAACCTCCACAGTGGTGACTAGAGGAGGGACCTGAACAAGTGGAGACACTCACCAACTACTAGATGTTTCGACTGTGCACGCACACTGACCTGCACAGCAAAGGCTACTGGACAGTCAGCTATGGTTCCATTTTTTGTTTTGTGTGTTGGATTTTGTCTCTGCTTTTATATTGTACCTATTTTGGGTCCTTTTGGTCTCACTTTTTGCCTGGGTGTGGGAGCATTCTCTTCCTACATTACCCAAGAAAAGACAGAAATCATGGCCATATACTCAAGCTACAAGCTTACCCCATAATATCCCACCCTCCAGACAGGAGCCAATACAGCTGCAATGCATTACACAGATAGCCAACATTTATTAAAATAACTTGAAGCTGAGTAGTAAGATAAATGAAAAGAGAAGCTTATCTCTAGATCACATGCACCAAGAGACACTCAGTAAACTTAATAACACAGCAAAAGACATTCATTTAATCAATGAAAATGCATCTAACTATTGAAAATGTCCAAGAGAAAACAAGAACAGATCTCAGCACATGTCCCAAAACAGTAACTAAGACAAATGAGCTGGAGGCCAACAAAGACTTTCCATTAGAATAAGAGCAGGCTTTGGATCTGCCTCAGAAGGAATTCAGAAGAATTATATGGAGACAAATCTAAATGCTCCACAGAGGCATGGAGGAAAATAAAGAAGTCAGGAAAGTGCTACAGGAGCAATCAAACAAGACAGATATAGCATTAGAAACAACTCAAAACCTGAGAAAAGACATGGAGATGATTAATAATAAAATATCAGAAATGGACAATACATTGAAAGAGCAAAGGAGTAGAATAGAAGAGATGGAAGCCAGGACCAGAGAGCTAGATGGAAAATCTCTCAATACTGCTAAGATAGATGAGCAAGCAGAACAAAGGATAAAAAAAAAATCTGAAGAGAATCTAAGATTCATGTTGGATAACATGAAGAAGAATTATTGGCATTCCGGAACAGGAAGAATGTTAGATGTTCACAGAGGTGATAGTTGAGGATCTTCTGTAAAAAAAATTCCCTAACGTCTTGAAGGATGAGAAGATCAGCATTCAAGAAGCTGAACACACCCCATGAAGGATAGACCCCAAAAGAAAATTACCAATACATATCATAATCAAGCTCTCCAAAATCAAAGACCAGGAGAGGATCCTAAAAGCAGCCAGGGAAAAGAGAAGTGTTACTTACAAAGGCAAGCAAATAAAATTAAGCTCTGACATCTCACCAGAAACCATGCAGAAAAAAGGCAATGGGGAGACATAAATAAAACCCTAAAAGAAGACAAACAAACAAAAACACCTGCCAAACAACAATCGTCTACCCAGAAAAACTGTCAATCAAATACAATGGTGCAATTAAAACATTCCAGGATAAACAGAAGCTAATCCAGCATTTCAAAACATCCTAAAGGGAGTTCCAGACAGCAACCAGAGATTGATAGACAAGGCAACACTACCCAGAACTCAGTAGACAGCAGAGTTCAGAACAGAACAAAATTACAACAAAGATCAAAATAATAAGTGTCAAAGAAGGGGAAAATATAGAACAAGAGATCTGGGCAGTGAGTAGGCCAGCTAGATTGCAGGATACAATAGACTGTTTTAAATGGAAGGAAAAGTTAATAGACTACGTTGATGTTGTTGTTCCGTTGAGTTGATTCCAACCCATAGTGACCCTGTATAGGGTTCCAAGGAGAAGCTCATGAGCTTGAACCACTGACCTTGAAATTCAAAAAGCTTTGCAGTCTGGCTCACACTATAGGGTAACCTCAAAGAAAGTTAATACTTCACAACTTACCATGAAAATGAAAATTCAAGTAGAACAAGGAAACATTAAAACTATGAAGAAACTGACAAGAAATAGCACAAAAAACATGAACTCAGGACAAGTCATGCAGAATACAGAAACGGATAGCATCACAAAAATTACAATAATGACAGCAATTAATTAATATCTATCAATAATTACACTGGATTTGAATGGATTAAAAGCACCAGTGAAGAGATAGAGAGTGGCAGAATGGATAAGAAAACAAGAACCTTCAATATGCTGCCTGCAAGAGTCACAGTAACTAAAGACTAAAAGAGACTGAAAGTTAAAAGATGGAAAAATACATACCAAGCTAATTGCAATAACCACCACACATCTGTCAGTTTGTCGTACTTTGGTGGCATGTGAGTTTCTGTGATTCTAGAAGCTATGCCACCATAATTTAAGTACCAGAAGGGTCACCGATGGTGGACAGGTTTCAGATGAACTCCCAGAGGAAGACAGACAAGGAGAAGAAGTGATGAACTAATTCTAAATATTTAGTCACTGAAAATACTGCAAATAGCAGAGAAACACTGTCAGATATAATGCCAGAAAATGAGACCCTCGGATTGGAAGACACTCAAAATGTGGCTGGACAAGAGCTGCTTCCTCAAAGTAGAGTTGACTGTGATGACACTAATGGAGGGAAGTCTGTGGGAGTAAAGACCTGGGGACATTCATTTGATGATTTGGCACAACTCAAAATAAAGAGAAACAGCTGTAAGCATCCATTAGTAATCAGAACATGGAATATATGAAATATGAATCTAGGTAAATGAGAAATTGTCAAAAATGAAATGGAACGCATAAACATTGATATCTTAGACATTACTGAGCTGAAATGGACTGGTAGTGGCCATTCTGAATCTGACAACCACATAGTTAACTATGCTGGGGATGACAAATTAAAGAGGAATGGTGTTGCATTTATTATCAAAAAGAACATATCCAGATCAGTAATGAAGTGCAACGTTGTCTGTGATAGGATAATATCCATGCACCTACAAGGAAGACCAGTTAATACCACTATTATTCAAATTTATGCAACAACCACTAAAGCCAGTGAGGATGAAATAGAAGAATTCTACCAACTTCTTCAATCTGAAATCGATCAAGCATGCAATCAAGATGTTTTGATCATTACCGGTGATTAGAATGCAAATGTAGGGAGCAAATAAAAAGGATCAGTAATTGGAAAATATAACCTTGGTGATAGAGGTTATGCTGGAGATCTCATGATAGAATTCTGCAAAATAAATGATTTGTTCATTTCAAATGCCTTCATTAGACAGCATAAGAGACGATTATACTCATGGACCTCACCAGACTGAATACACAGAAATGAAATTGACTACATCTGTGGAAAGAGATGATGGAAAATCTCCATATCATCAGTCAAAATAAGGCTAGGGGCTGATTGTGGAACAGATCATCAATTGCTCATATGCAAATTCAAACAGAAGCTGAAGAAAATGAAAAGAGCCAAAATATGACCTTGAATATATCCCACCTGAATTTAGAGATCATCTGAAGAACAGATTTGATACATTAAACACAAAAGACTGAAGATCAGAAGAGTTGTGGGATGACATCAAGAACATCACACAGGTAGAAAGCAAAAGTCATTAAGAAGGCAAGAAAGAAGGAAAAGTTCAAAATGGATGTCAGAAGAGGCACTGATACTTGCTCTCCAGCACAGAGATGGTAAAGCAAATTGAAGAAATGAGGAGGTCCAAGAGCTGAACAGAAAATTTCCAAGATCAGCTGGAGAAGATTAAGCCAAATATTACAATGAAATGAGCAAAAATCTGGAGTCAGAAAATCAAAAAGGAAGAATACCCTCAGCATTTCTCAGGCTGGAGGAACTGAAGAAAAAAAATTCAAGCCTCGACTTTCTTTATTGAAGAATTCTCTGGGCAAATTATAGAACGACACAGAAAGCATCAAAAGAAGATGATAGGAATACACAGAGTCACTGTACCAAAAGGAAATGGTTAATGTTCAACCTTTTCAAGTGGTAGCATATGATCAAGAGCCAATGATACTAAAGGAGAACGTCCAAGGTGCATTGAAGGAATTGGCAAAGAACAAGGCACCAGGAATTGATGTAATGAGAATTTAAATCTTTCAAGAAAGTGAGGCGGCACAAGAGACATTCACTCATCTATGACAAGAAATTTGGAAGACAACTATTTGGCCTACTGATTTGAAGAGACCGTATTTGTGCCCATTCCAAAGAGAGGTGATCCAATGGAATGCGGAAATCATTGGACAATCTCTTTGATATTCCATGAGTAAAGTTTTAACTAAAAGTAATACAGAAATGGTTACAAGCAGATAATGACAGAGAATTTCCAGTGGTTCAAGCTGTATTCAGAGGAGGTCGTGGAATGAGGGATATCATTGCTGATGTCTGTTGAATCTTGGCTGAAAGCAGAGAGTATCAGAAAGATATTTACTTGTGCTTTATTGACTATGCAAAGATTTTCTATTGTGTGGATTATGACAAACTATGGACAACATTGTGAAGTATGAGTATTCCGGAACACTTAATTATGCTCATGAGGAATTTTGGTACATGGACTGAGAAGCAGTTTTTCGAACAGGACTTGGGAACACTGAATATTTTAAAATTAAGAAAGGTGTGCGACAGGCTTGTATTCTTTCACTATACTTATTCAACCCATATACTGAGCATCTGAGAATCTGAGTTATATGAAGAAAACCGTGGTATCAGGATTGGAGGAAGGGTCATTAACAACCTGAGATATGCAGATGATATAACCTTAGTTGCTGAAAGTGAAAAAGACTTAAAATATTTACTGATGAAGATCAAAGAGCACAGACTTTGGTATAAATTGTATCTCAATGTAAAGATAACAAAAATCCTCACCACTGGACCAATAAACAACATTCTTATCAACAGAGATAAGATTGAAGTTGTCAAGGACTTCATTCTTCTTTGATCAACTATCAACACTTGTGGAAGCAGCAGTCAAGAAATCAAACGATGTATTGTATTAAGCAAATCTGCTGCACAAGACCTTTTTAAAGTGTTGAAGAGCCAAGATGTCAGCATGAGGACTAAGGGGCACCTGACCCAAGCCATGTTTTTTCAATAACCTCATATACGTGGAAAAGCTGGACAGTGATTAAGGAAGACCATAGAAAAATAGATGCCTTTGAATTATGGTGTTGGAGGAAAATATTGCAAGGGCCATGGGCTGCCCATAGAACCAACAGATCTGTGTTAGAAGAAATGCAGCCAGAGTGCTCCTAGGAGGACAGGATGGCCAAACTTTGTCTCTCATACTTTGGACATATTGTCAGGAGGATATCATTTCAGAAGGATATTATATTTGGTAAGGTGGAGGGTCAGAGAAAAAAGGGAAGACTCCCAGTGAGACTGATTGGCAAAGTGGCAGTATCAATGGGTTTAAGCATGGCAAGGATAGTGAGGTTGGCCCAGGATCGGGCAGTGTTTCGTTCTGCAGTGCATAAGGTCACTATTAGTTGATACCAATTCAACGGCACCTATAACAACAAAAACAACTGGAATAAAAAACAATCAGGAGTGGCAATACTAATCTCTGCTAAAATAAAACTTCAATGCAAAAACTACCATAAGAGATAAAGAAGGACACTATCATGATTAAAGACTCAATTGAGTAAAATGACATAACCATAATAAATACCCCCAATGAAAGAACATCAGGATATATAAAGCAAACCCTATTAGAATTGAAGAAAGAAATAGACAAAAGTAAAATTATATTGGGTGATATTAATATGCCAATGTTGAAAAGGATAGAACAACCAGTAAGAAACCAGACAAGGATACAGAGGAACTAAACAGCACCATCAACTAACTGGACCTCATGGATGTGTACAGAGCATTCAACCCAACAACAGTACAATACATATTCTTTTCCAGTGCACATGGGACCTTCTCCAGAACTGACCATCTGGTAGATCACAAACATCAAAATACTACAAAGCATTTTTTTCAGATTACAATGCTATAAAACTAGAAATCAGCAATAAGAAGACTGAGGAAACAAAGTTGAATACATGCAAACTGAATAACAACCTGCTGAAAAATGATTGGGTTGTAGAAGAAATTAAATGTGCATTCACAAAGTTCATAGAAACAAATGAGAATGAAAACACAACATACCAAAATCTTTGGGACATGGAGAATGCAGTGCTGAAAGGACAATTTATTGCAATAAATATACATTGAGAAAGAAGAAAACTAAATTTAACACAATAACACAGCATCTCCAACAATTAGAAACAGAACAACAAAGGGAACCTACAGTCAACAAAAGAAAAGAAATAATAAAGATCAGAGCAGAAATAAATGAGAAAGAAAACAGAAAAACTATAAAAAGGAACAACAAGGCAAGAAGCTGGTTCTTTGAAAGGATTAATGAAATTGACAAACCATTGGCAAAGCTAACAAAAGAAAAGAGGGAGAAGACACAAATAACACACATTAGAAACTACATCAGTGATGTGACAATGAAACCAAAAGAAATCAAAAGGATAATAACAGAATACTATGTAGAGCTGTACTCCAACAAAGTTGAAAACTTAGAAGAGATAGGTACATTTATAGAAAAACAAGACCTACCAAAACTTATACAGAATGAATTAGAAAACTTGAGCAGACACAGAACAAAAGCTGAAATTGATCAGGTCATCAAAAACCTCCCCCACAAAAAGAAGTCCAGGCCCAGATGGCTTCACTGGTGAGTTCTACCAAACATTCAGTGAAGAACTGTCACCACTTCTACTCAAATTACTCCAGAATATAAAAGAGGATGGAAAACTTCCTAACATTTATGAAACCACCATAACTCTCATACCATAACCAGAGAAGAACATCACTGAAAGAAAACTATAGACACATATCCCTCATGAACATAGATGCAAAAATTCTCAATAAAATCCTAGCCAACAGAATCCAGCATCATATGAAAAAAAAAAAATACAACATGACCAAGTGGGATTTATATCAGGTATGCAAAGATGGTTCAACATTAGAAAAATAATAAACATAATCCACCATATAAATAAGAAAAAGAAAAGAACCACATGATTATATCAATTGAATAGAAAAGGCATTTGACATAACCCTACATCCATCCCTGATAAAAACACTCAACAAAGTAGGAATTGAAGGGAAATTCCTCAACATAATTAAGAGCATATATACAAAACTAACAGCCAAAATTACTCTCAATATAGCGAAATTGAAAGCCTTCCTCTGTGAACTGACACCAGAAAAGGATGCCCTTTGTCACCACTCCTATTCAATATTGTGCTGGAAATTTTAACCAGAGCTATATGGCACATAAGGAAATTAAAGGTATCCATATTGGCAAATAGCAAGTAAAGCTCTCTCTATTTGCAGACAATATGATACTATACATAGCAAAGACAGTAAAAAAGCTACTAGACCTCATTGGAAGATTCATTAAAGTGGTAGGGTGTAAGATCAACATACAAAAATCAGTTGGATTCCTCTATACTAACAATGTTGTTGTTGTTGTTAAGTGCCGTCGAGTCGGTTCCGACCCATAGCGACCCTGCACAGGGTTCCGAGGCTGTAAATCTTTATGGGAGCAGAAAGCCTCATCTTTCTTCCGTGGAGCAGCTGGTAGTTTCTAACTGCAAACCTTAAGGTTCGCAGCCCAATTCGTAACCACTACGCTACCAGAGCTCCTTTTATAGTAACAATGAGAGCACTGAAAAGGACATTTCAAGAGCAAAACCATTTACAATAGCCACCCAAAGGATGAAATAGCTAGGAATATATGTAATCAGAGAAATAAAGGACCTATACAACAAAAACTACAAAACATTACTACAAGAAATCAAAAAAAGACTTACAAAATCGGAAGAATATACCATTCTCCTGAATAGGAAGATTCAATATTATGAAAATGTCAATACTGCCCAAAGCAATTTACATATATAAGCAATCCCAATCCAGATTCCAATGACACTCTTCATTGAAATGGAAAAAACAATTCCAAACTTTATATGGAAAGAAAGAGACCAAGGATAATCAAAGCACTACTAAAGAAGAAGAATAAAGTTGGAAGCTTCTTAGTCCCTGATTTCAAAATGTATTACATGGCTACAGTGGTCAAAACAAGTTGGTATCAGTACAAAGAAAGATGCATATATCAATGGAACAGCATTAAGAATCCAGAAATTAACCCATGCACATAGAGCCAACCGATTTTCGACAAAGTGCTTAAGTATATTGCATGGGGAGGAGATAGTCTCTTCAACAGATGGTGCTGGCAGAACTGGAAAGTGATATGAAAAAGATTGAAACAAAACATTTACCTCACACCAAGGAGGAGATCTGGCCAGCCAACAAACATGAAAGATTGTTCATGATCACTAGCCATTAGAGAGATGCAAATTAAAACAACAATGAGATATCATTTTACACCAGCAATAACAGCAAAATAAAAAAAAGTAGAGGACAACAAATGCTGGCGAGGTTGTGGAGAAACTGGGACCCTCCTACACTGTTCGTGAGATTGCAAAATGGCCCAACCACTATGGAAAATAGCATGTTGCTTCCTCAGAAAGTTCCAAATAGAAATACCTTATGATCCTGCGATACCTGTACTTGGTATTTATCCACAAGAAACACGAGCAATAACACAAGTAGATATATTCACACCAATGTTCCTACCAGCACTATTTACAATAGCAAAAAGATGGAGACAGCCTAAGTGGCCATCAAGAAAAGAATGGATAAACAAACTGTGGTACATACATACACACAATGGAATATTATGCTACTGCAAATCACCGCATAAATATGGATGTACCTTAAGGACATTATGCTGAATGAAGTTAGTCACAAAAGGAGAAATACTGCATAGGACCATTATTGTAAAAGCTTAAGAAAAAGTATCCACACTGAAAGGGGGAAAAAAAAACCCAAAAAACTCTTTGTTGGTTACCGGGGTAGAGAGGATGGGATGAGGGGAGTGAGTGGAAGGTGGAGCACAGGGTAGGGATTAGACGCAGGATAGTTTGGGTGCTATGGGGGGCAAGACACAAGAGGGGGGAGTGGAATGGTAGAAGAAGACAAAAGGGGGCAACATTTAGTCAGGTTTGCATGGGCTAAGTGGGACAGATGTAAATAGTGATGTTTGCTCAACCTGGAACAACAGGGATCTGTAATACAGGCATTGAAGCATGGTTTGAATGGGCAAAAGAGGAGCAATAATGTTAAGATGCTTGGCAGTCTTTTGAATCTTGCTTTCCCTTGCCTACGATTATAAAATAGACACTTGAGGGGGAGAGAAAGGAATAACCAGAAACATTATCATAGAAAACTTTTAAGCCCATCTTCAGCCTATAACTGATTGGAATACCTAAAATGGGGCTAGAACTTCCCCAGTGAAAGAGGCTTCCTGCAGAGCCTTTACATTGCATAAGACCATAGTTGGAATCCTGGTCCCCATCCAGAATCTTCTGAGGTGGGAAATTTCTACTTGAAAAGACAAGCAGACCAGCCTGGAGCAGCTAACGGAACAGAAGATACTTCTTGTAAGAAAGATCAGCAGGAAAAATCAGAAACAATAACAGCAGTCTAGTTGACTACTACAAGACCAAACAAGTTTTTCGCCAAGGCAAGCTGTTGGGTCCCCTCAGGACAAACCCTCTTCCAAGACTAAGACTCAAGGGGAATACACAAGCAGGCATGTGGTCTTGCTGGTGACCGCTTTGGTCTATGGATAATGGGAAGAGTGGGAAAAACAGCCATGAAGTTGTGAGTTAAGTCCAACTATGTTCAATAGACTCCTGTCGACCTGAATTGAGACCTGGTTGGCCAGCAGTATGGCGAGACCTGGGGACTCCTGGCCCAGAGACAGGGACATGGCCACGGCCACAGAGGATTGGAGTGGAAAGTGAAGCATCCACCTGATATAAAATGAGGGGAGATGCACAAGAACACCCATACTTGTATATAGTACCCATTTGACCTGGTCTCAATGGCGGGATGATCAGAACTCCACTAGAGAAAGAAAAAATAGGAAAAAAAGAGTAATCCTCTACAATTTGATGAACTTGACCTATACTTATGGATATAGTATCTCAAAAGTGGGAATGAATCTTTACAGTGAGGATCATTCCCATCCCTTCAGTACACAGGGTTTACAGTGATGGGGAACTTACACATCGGCTACCCAAAATGGGGTAGGGGTGATACAAAGGCATGAAGTTATGGGTTTACAAGCTTTCAAGAGGGATCTTAGTTTCAGAGGGTGCGGGAGAGAGTAAAAACTCCACTGAGTGGTTTTCAACCTATATGGATGGTGCTGGTGAAAGAAGATGGGGATAAGACTCTTGAGGTTCAGTAGTGAATAATTGCTATCAGGACTGACTGTGAGTGTTGTAAATGTAAAGGTAGACTTTTTGTAACAAAAGGAGGGGAGTGGTTGAGCTTGTAGTCCAGGAGTGGAGGATCCTGGGACCATCAAGTGAGAATAGCGGAGTGTGGGACTCTATCTAGAGAAGCAGTGGTGCCAGAGATGGAGACAGAGGAGATGATGTGGAGAGATGGAATGGCTGGGTACTATGGACTCAGGGAGGGAGAGGAGCTGTGTGCTGACAGCCCAGGGCCAGGCTTGCAATGTGTACCCTTTGATTATTTGAATGGTTATATATTTTTGAGTGCTTCTATGTATATCCCCCCCAAAAAAAAACAAAAACAGAAGGAATGGAAGCAAATGCTGTAACATGATGATGCATCGGGGGTTTGTAATCATTGCAATGAAATGAAATATGATAGGTTGAATGTAAAGCTTATGTTCTCCCATGTAAACTATCACTCAATTCACAATAAAAACTTAAAAAAAAAAAGAAAGAATTTTTGGTCCAGGCGGTATCACCAGTTACACAGCACAGTTGCACCAGGACCTGCTCTGCCTCCTGGGACTCCCCATCTGCCAAGTCCTCATATCCTTGACCAACAGGACAGTCTGAGGACATATATTCCTCTGAGAAACCTTTAACAGCAAATTCTGGTTTAATACCTGGTTTGGACAACATGCAGAGTCATATCCAGTCATGAAGGCATACTGTAAACCCCAAATAGCACCACGGAACCCATTCAAACTGCCACTAGTGGTACTGGAAGTGCTCCCAAGAAACAAAGTCATGATGTCACAAGAAAAAATAGGATGACTCATTTATGTACAGAATTAAAAATTATTTTATTAAAGTTGGAAAAATTATAGCAGAGAATGAGTCTTATTGGAAATCTAATCTTGTGAATTTATCTCACCTATACATCATCAAACACATATATATACTTTGGCCATGCATATTTTTTGTTTGCATGACCTTGTTTGCCTAAGATTTGACTAGAAATATGTTTAATAGCTATTGTTGTTGTTAGGTGCCATCGAGTTGGCACCGACTCATAGCAACCCTACGCACAGCAGAACAAAACAATGTCTGATCCTGGGCCAACCTTACTACTGTTGCCACACTGGAGTCCACAGATGCTGCCACCTGGCCAATCCATCTCGTTGGGGGTCTTCTTCTTTTTCTCTGACCCTCCATCTTACCAAGCATGATATCTGTAGAATAAGCACTGAACCACAAGATCTTTTTGAAACATGAGGTAGGCAGTTTAAACTATAGCTGCTCCTTGTAAACCCTATACGATTTGCTGAGTCTGAGTCAATTCAATGGCACTTAACATCTGCAAAAAGAGGATACAGAGAAACTCTATATCATCAGTCAGAATAGTAATAGCTATACTAAGGCTTATTTAGAGTGTTATTTGAGCTTAATTCCCCCCCCCCATTTTTGAACGTATGCACACTCATTAAAGCTTGTAAGGCAGCCACTGGCTGCCATTAAAAACTTATTTTTGATAGCCAGTATCTAGGTTGTTCATCTCTATCAACCCAGCATACTGAGAAGGCCAGCATGATCCTTGATATGTAGAAATCTTCCCTTTCAGTTGGAATTTTGAGCAACTACATCTGTAAACAAAGGTCCGGATCATCAAATTATAGCAGTTTAAGCTTATTTACTCTCTCAAACTTGTTTATCTTCATCTGGTCGAGTTCTGGTCAGCTAGCCATCCAAGCTATGTCAAATGGGTACTATCTGCAAACTGGGAAGTTCTTCCATGTATCTCCCCACCTCAGACCACCTGGCTGCTTCACTTCATCTCTAGCCTACAGTGGCAAGATCAGTGTCCATGGGCTCAGGAGTTCGCACACTTCCCTAAACTAAACTTCAGACCAGCCAGTCTTTCCTTTTCTCTCTCTCTCATCTCAAAGTCAAAAGGTGTCTAGGAACATGATCAAACTCAGTTCATGTCATTACTGATGCAATTCCTCCACTTTAACTCACAAGTAGACCATGGCTGTCATAAGTAACCATACAATTCTACTTCTGTGTTTCCTTTGAGTTTCAGTCTTAGAAGGGAGTTTACCCAAATGAGCTGAGTTTTCTTGCTTTGTTGGCTCTAAGGCAAACAGCTTGCTTGTTATTCTAACATTGAGCTTAAATTTCATTTATGATGTCCTGGATTCATCCTAGAACATGTCTGGTATGTATTAATGAGTACTCAATATGTCAAATCTGTTATTGATATGATTTCTAAATTTATGTAGTACCTACTCAATGTTCAGGAATCCTGCTGTGGCGCTGCGGGTTAATGCATTAAACTGTAAAGTTGGTTTTAACTCCAAAGTCAGGTTCAAGCTCACTATCTGCTCCTCAGATACCCTATTCAGGGTTGCTATGGGTCAGAACCAACTCAACAGCACTTAACAATAAAACAACATACTCAAGGTTGTACTTTAATTCTCATGGGCTTATTTTAATTTTCTTCATGTTTTTTGTGGGGGGCAAGATTTAGAGGTTTGTTATGAGTCTAGGCAAGACTAAAAGTTCAAAGCAAATTCAATTTTGCTTATTGGGACATTGTAAAGTAATAAATTATTGTTTATTACATGCCTCATATGATCCATTTCAAACCATAGAGAATTAGATCTTCATGTGTCACTGTTACAAGAGACCATAAACAAATTCGAACAGCTAAACATCTTAAAAATGCACCAGGCTTCTGACGTCTCAAACAAAACTTGAATTTTCTGTACATATATCTGTCAAATGAAGTAATTTCCTGTACACCACTATTCTTCTTGCAAACCAATCTTCTGTTTCCGTTCATTTGACTTAGATCGGCTATGAGACCTAGAGAAGGATTAGCATGGCTTATGATTTCTCTCCCGAGACAGTGATCTCTCTCTTCTCCTGTCTCTAGAAAGGGACCTGCTCCGCCTGGGAAAGAAGCGTCTTCTCCTTGGAGATCTGCGACGAGGTGGAGGACTTCTACGATAATCATCCCGAGGGCGGCGTCCCCAAGAGGGAGGTAGACCACGATTCCGGCTTCTTTTTTCACCATTTGACAATTCCACTCTTACACGGCAGCCACACAATGTTCTTCCATCTAGCTCTTGAACAGCATCGGCTGCATCCCAAGGATCTTCAAATTCAACAAAAGCAAAGCCGGGAGGGTTTCTAGCAACCCACACACTTCGGAGGAGTCCATAATATCCAAAAGCCGGTTCCAATTCAGTCTTGTTGCCATTGTTTCCAAGATTGCCTACATAAACCTTGCAGTCTAAAGGACAGGAATCATGATGCATTTTGAAATATCAGGTTAGAAACGCAGAGGCTTAAAACCACACACTCGAATGGATCTTCTCGTTTGCCTCCAACCCGTCCACGGAAGAAGTTTAGGCTTACCCGGCATTCACGAAATGGCCAATTTTCTTCATGTTTAACCTGAGCTTGCATAGGAGCAATTGATGATCTGTTCTGCAATTAATGCTGGTTTTGTTCTGACTGATGATACAGAGTTTCTCTGTATACTCTTTCTGCAGATGTTAAGTGCCATTGAGTTGACTCAGGCTCATAGCAAATCTGTTATAGGGTTTACAAGGAGCAGCTATAGTTTGAATTGCTGACCTCATGTTGAAAAATGTATTTGCAATAAATAAATCATCAGTCTTAGAAAAGTGATCTCAAGTATTGTTTTTATTATCACAATCAGATTTTCCAGATGTCAATAGTTCATTTTGTTTCCAAATTTCACATTCTAATCAACAGTAATCATCAATGTATCTTAATTGCATGTTTGATTAATTTCAGACTTCAGATGTTCATAAAAAGCTTCAATTTCCTCATCTTTGGCTTTAGTAGTTGGTGCATAAATTTGAATAGCAGTCATATTAGCTGGCTTTTTATAATCCTATCACAGACAGTCTTGTACTTTAGGAGAGATCTCGAAATGTTCTTTTGACAATGAATGTGACGCCATTTCTCTTCCATGTATCTCTTCTACCATAGTAGACCACATGACACTTTATTTCAAAATGGCTAAAAATAGTCGATTTCAGTTTTCTAATGCTTAGGATACCTGTCTTTATGCTTCAAATTCATTCTTGTAGACTTCCAGTTTTCCTAAATTTATACTATGCACATTCTACATTTTGATTCTTAATGGATATTTGAGCTGTTTCATCTCATTTTAAATCAGCCACATCAGCAAATGAAGATCCTGAAATTTTTGCTCCATCCATGTCCTTAAGATCAACTCTACTGTGATGGTATTGAAGGATGAAGGCATTTGACTTAGCCCCTATGGCTTGATAATCAGGACTCAACTAGAGGAAGATAAAAAAGAAAACAAATTTTGATAAAGGAAATGAAGGTAAATTGTTGCAATTTGATGAAGTTGACCTATACTCATGGAGGTAGTAGCTCAAAATACCAACAGAGAAGGAAGGAGTCTTCACATCAAATATCAATGTTATCTCCATTGTATACAGGGTAGATAGGGGGACAGGTAACTTAGACATTGACTACTTAAAAAGAGGGGGCAATGAAGGCACAAAATGACTGGCTTACAAGGTTTCAAGAGGGAGTTTACTTTAAGAGTGTGTGGGGGATGATAGAGTACCTACTGAATAGTTTTCATCTTGTCTAGATGGGTCTGGTAAAAAGAGATGGAAAAAAGATTCTTATGATTCAATAATGAGTAATTATTATCATGACTAATTGTGATTGTCACAATTGTAATGGTAGAAGTTTTGTAACAAAAATGGGAGAATAGTTAATCTTACAGTACAGAAACAAAGGATTCTAGGACCATCAAGGGAGAAGAGCACAAGCTGAATGTGGGACCCTCTCCAGAGAAGCAGTGACATCAGAGATGGAGGCAGAGATGAGGACATGAAGAGAAGGAGCAGCTGAGGACTCTAAATTCATGGAAAGAGAGGCACTGAGAGCTGAAGACCAGGAGGCAGACTTGGAGAATGTACCCTTTGGTGGTGTAAATTATTATATACGCCTGAGTGTTAAAAAAAAAAAAAAAAAAAAGAGCTAAAACGAATAGAGAGAAATACAGTTAACAGATGGTATACAGAGGCAATTATAATTATTGTATTAAAACAAAGTATATGATATTTTTTAATGTACAACTGATGATCTGCCCTGTCAATTTTCACACAATTCACAGTAAAAACTTTAAAAAAAGGAATAAAAAGAACAGTGGAGTCCTGGTATGATGCTGTAGGATAAGCACTCTTCTAACAACCACTAAGTTGGTGGTTCAAACCAGCCACTCCTTGGAAATCCTATACAGGGCCATTATAAGTCAAAACTAATTTGATTACACATAGCAGTACCAACATGAAGAATTGTATTAAAATAAATTTGAAAATCTTGAAGAAATGGATAATGTATTAGAATAAAATGACCTACCTAAACTAACAAAGATTGAGGTAGAAAACTTGAACAGACCTTTAAAAAAAAATAAGAAATTGATTGGGCTATTAAAAAACTGCAGCAAAAAAAAAGTCCTGTCCTAGATTGCTTTACTAGTGAATTATACCAAATTTTCAATAAAGAACTAATCAATTCTACTCAAAACTATTTCAGAACATAGAAAAGGATGGCGATATTCTGAATACATTTTATGAAGCTTTCATAATATTCATAATGAGGCAAAGAAATCACTAAAAGAGAAAATTTCAGAAAATATCCCTTATGAATATACATGCAAAAGCTCTGAACAAATGCCTAGCCAATAGAATTCATCAACTTATCAAAAATATAATACATCATTACCAAGTGGGATTCCTGCCATAATACAAGGATTTTCAGAATTAGAAAAGCTATCAACCTAATGTACTCCATAAATAAAGGGGAAAAAAATTGAAACACCTGGTAATATTAACTAAAATCCAATATGCATTCCAAATGAAAACACTCAATAAAAGAGTAATGGAAGAGAAACTCCTCAAAATAATAAATGGCATGTATGCAAATCTAGCAGCCATCATTAATCTCAATAGAGAGAAACTGAAAACATTCCCTTTGTAACAGGAACCAGACAAGGATGACTTTTATCATCATTCCTATTCAATATTGAGTTGGAAGACTTACCCAGAACTATAAAGCAAAAAAGGACAATTGAAGTTACCCAAATTCATCAAAGTAGAAGTAAAACTCTATTTGCAGAAGATATGATCCTAACAGAGAAAATCCCAAACACTCAGCAAGAAAATAATTGGAACTCACTGAATGACCCAATAAAACAACAGGTTACAAGAGCAATATAGAAAAATCAGTTAGACTCCTCTACATTAATAAAAACAGCTCTGAAAAGGAAATGAGGAAAACAATATTACTTATAATGTTGTTGTTGGTGGTGTTGTTAGGTGCCATCGAGTTGGTACCTACTCCTAGAGACATTATGCACAGCAGAACGAAACACGGCCTGATCCTGGGCCAAGCTTACTACTGTTGCCATGCTTGAGTCCATCAGTGCTGCCACTTAGCCAATCTATCTCGTTGGAGGTCTTCTTCTTTTTCTCTGACCCTCCTCCACCTTACCAAACATGATGTCCTTTTCCAATGACTGATCACTCCTGACAACATGTCCGAAGTATGAGAGATGTAGTTTGGCCATCTTGGCCTCCAGAGAGCACTCTAGCTTCACTTCTTCCAAAACATATTGATTGGTTAGACTGGAAGACCATGGCACATTCAATATTCTCCTCCAAAACCATAACTCAAATGCATCAATTCTACGGTCATCCTTATTTACTGTCCAGCTTTTACATGCATATGAGGTAACTGAAAATACCATGGCTTGGGTCAAGCGCACCTTAGTCTTCAAGCTGACATCTTTGCTCTTTAACACTTTAAAAAGGTCTTGTGCAACAGAGTTGCCTAATGCACTACATCGTTTGATTTCTTGACTGCTGCTTCCATAAGTATTGATAGTTGATCCAAGAAGAATGAAATCCTTGACAGCTTAGATCTTTTCTCCATTGTTAAGAATGTTGTTTATTGGTCCAGTGGTGAGGATTTTTGTTTTCTTTACATTGAGATGTAATCCATACCGAAGGCTGTGCTCTTTGATCTTCATCAGTAAATGTTTTAAGTCCTCTTCACTTTCAGCAAGCAAGGTTGTATCATCTGCATATTTCAGGTTGTTAATGAGTCTTCCTCCAATCCTGATGCCATTGTTTTTCTTCATAGAACTGAACTTCTCAGATTATTTGCTTAGCATACAGGTTGAATAAGTATGGTGAAAGAATACAACCCTATCACACACCTTTCTTAATTAGAAAACATTCAGAGTTCCCATGCTCTGTTCCAACAACTGCCTCTTGGTCCATGTACAGAATTCTCATGAGTACAATCAAGTGTTCTGGAATACTCATACTTTGCAATGTTGTCCATAGCTTGTCATGATCCACATGCTTGAAAGCATTTGCATAGTCAATAAAGTACAGGTAAACACCTTTCTGATATTCTCTGCTTGTAGCCAAGATCCACTGGATATCAGCAATGATATCCCTTGTCCCATGTCCTCTTCTGAATCTGGCTTGAACCTCTGGAAGGTCTCTGTCAATGTATTCTTGCAGTCGTTTCTGTATTACCTTTGTTGTTGTTGTTGTTGTTAAGTGCCGTCGAGTCGGTTCCGACCCATAGCGACCCTGTACAGGGTTTCCGAGGGTGTAAATCCTTACGGGAGTAGAAAGCCTCATCTTTCTCCCGCGGAGTGGCTGGTAGTTTCGAACCGCTGACCTTAAGGTTCGCAGCCCGATTCGTAACCACTACGCTAAAACTTTATTCACATGGGCTATCAAAGAGATTGTCTGATGATTTCCGCATTCTATTGGGACACCTCTGTTTGGAATGGGTACAAATATGGATCTCTTCCAATCAGTTGGTCAGATAGATGTCTTCCAAATTTCTTGGCAGAGACGAGTGAGTGCCTCCTGTGCCACCACATTTTCTTGAAAGTTTTCTATTTTTATTCCATCAATTCCTGGTGCCTTGTTCTTTGCCAATTCCTTCAATGCACCTTGGACTTTCTCCTTCAGTATCATTGGCTCTTGATCATATGCTACCTCTTGAAATGGTTGAATATTAACCATTTCCTTTTGGTACAGTGACTCTGTGTATTCCTTCAATTTTCTCTTGATGCTTTCTGCATTATTCAATATTTTGTCCAGAGAATCCTTCAATAACAAAAGTCGATGTTTGATTTTTTTCTTCCATTCCCCAAGCTTGAGGAATGCTGACCATGTTTTTCCTTTTTGGTTTTGTGACTCCAGATCTTTGCACA